ATATTTCACCTCAAATCAGCATCATCAGATGGAGAATAGGAGTCATACTGATTCCCAAGTCACAAATTTCCATAAGATCCTCCTTCATATAAAGCAATTAGTATGGTTCCTGTCTCACAAATACTCAACAAATATTTGTTTGTTTAATATTACTGTGGAACCCAAATTGTTGTGGATTTCATTCTCATTCTTTTGATTTTTTTTTTTTTTTTGGCTTGCCCTTTGTTTTCTCCAACCCACCCACACATGACTTTTCTACCTTCTCTCACTCGCCCCCCGCTCTCCCGCCACAGGCCTTCACTTTTCTTATCATCATAGACTTGCCGACTCCCTCAACAATAATTCCGTTTCTTTCTTTTCATTGCTCACCCACTTGGCTAAACACCACCTCTGCTGAATCCAGCTCTCCACTTTCTCTAGGAGAAGCAATGTGCTGTAATGCATATGGGTGCTACCTCTGGGGTTAGACTGTGCAGGGTTCAAACCCCTGCTCTGATGCCTAATAGCTTTTTATATTTAAATAAGTTGATTGTCACTTCTGTAGAATGAAGTTGATAACAATAATGCTTGACTCATGGATATGGAATGAAATTTAAATGGACTATACAGTTGGATTTGTGTTGGCCCTGGTAAGCACTCAAAAAATTTAGCTGGGATTATTTTTATTATATTACTCTATGCATGAGGCAATGGAATAAAGTTGGGAAAATCACATACCCATACAGACTGCTTGAACTATAAATGTGGAATCACAAACCTCAGTTGGGTCCTCGATACTGTCTGGCAACTCTATTCATCTCCCTGGTATATTTGCTCTCAATGCCTTCAGCTCTTACTTCAAATCTCTCTCACCCTCAGCTGATGATCTTCCCTTCTGTTTTCTGGGGAAAACAGAAGCCATCAGAAAACTACTATCATTTGATCATCATCCAATATAGATGATGGGAAATATACATCTGGACTCATGTTCTTCATACTCTCTCCAATCTAATGGATGAAGGGTCCCAAAGGCCAACCCTTCACTTGGGTTTCAGCTTCCTTCCCTAAGGCTTTCTAAGGACTTTACTACTGCAGTTTTTTTTTTTCTCTATATCTTCAATGATCCTCACCACCTGGTGTTCGTATCCTTGTAAAATTCCCTCTCCTTAGGTTGTGGGTGGAACCTGTGACTTACTTCTAATCAAAGGAATATGGCAAAGATGCTGGCCTATTCCTCCTGACTACATTGCATTATGCAAGGTTCTATCCTGCTGGCAGGCAAGCTCTAAGATTCTCCTTGCCAGCTTGATGAAGAAAGATGCTAAGCTAAGGAAGTCTACGTAATAAAGAACAGCAGAAAGTAGGGAAGGGGTCGGGGAGAGGAGCTCTACGAGCTAAGAACAGCTTCCAATCAATAGCCAGGAAGAAGCTAGGATCCTCAGTCCTACATATGCAGGGGAATGAATTCTGCCAACATTCTGTGTAAGCAAGCTTAGAGGTGAATTGTTCCCTGGTCAAGCCTTCAGATGAGAACTCAACCCATGTAAGACCTTAATTGCAGCCTTGTGAGACTCTTCATGGCAAGCCTAGATAAGCTGAGCCTAGACTCCAAACCCACAGAAACTCTAAGAACTGTTTTAAGGCCGTGTGTGTGTGCATATGTGTGTGTATATACACACACAGATACACACACATAAATATATATATTTTTATAATTTGTGGCAATTTGTTACACTACAATACTCCCTTCCACATAATTCCCATGATGCTCTAGTCATAATACTAGGCTCTACTGTATCCCATCTTTAAAAAACACCTACGCCATAGGCCTTGCAGCTATTCTTCCTCCTCTTTGTTGTCCTTTCCCACTAAACTTGTCAAGAGTTTTTCATGTGTTCCTCTGTCCTCTCCTCTCATCAGCTGCTTAGCCTATTCCAGGCACATCACTGAAACTTCTCTTGTCAAGGATCTTGGTAAGTTCCATGTTATCTAATCCAAATGAACATCTCTGTCTCTTTCTCATTCTACATCTCAGAAACATTCAACACAGTTTATTACTCCCCACCCACTTTTTGGAACTATTTCTTCTCTTGGCTTATTGGACTTTACATTTTCTAGTTTTCTTTCTACTTATTTGGCTGCTGCTTCTCAATAGTCTTTGCTGGCTTCTCCTTTTATGCCCAAACTTAAATAGTTCTGTGCCCCAGAATCAGGCCCCAGACTCTCCTCTCTTGGCCCCATGCACTCCCTTTGCAGCCCCCAGGCTTTACATTAACATACTGATGTCATGCCTATTCCTCCCACTAGCCTTGACCTCTCCTATTCGTTCCCCATCTCACAACCATCTGCCTAACTATACTGTCCACTTGGTTGTCCACCAGTCATCTCAGACTTCACAGGCAGAACACTTGATTTTTGTTCTCTCGGTTTTCATAATCTCAGTAAATGGTACCTTCAACCAACCTTTACGTGATGGTCTCATCCTGGATTCCTCCCTTTCCTTCATCGCCCATCAACCAACCCATCCACAAGTTCTTGCAGGTTGATTCTCACAATAGATTCTGAATTTGCCCACTCCTGCCAATCTCTAACTCCAAGCTACCATTCCCTCTCTTGGTCTGCTGCAGTGACAGCCACCCAGCCAGCCTCCCTGCCTCCACTGCTGTCCTCCACACAGCATCAATCTTTTGAAAACTACAAATCACCTTGTAAGAATTTATTGCTCCAAGCTTTTCAAAGACGTCACTGTCCTTTCAAAGGGCCCACCAGGCTCTCTTTGCAGCCACCTGCCAGCCTCCTTGACATATCTGATACCCACTAAGTTCCAGCCACAATCACCCTTTTCTCTTTCCCACCTTGAGACTTGCAACTGCTATAATCTCTGCCTGGAAAGATCTTCCAATGCAAAATGTCTCGTATCTCAGGTCAAATGTCCCCTCCTCAGAGAGATCTTACCCAGAGTAGCTTTCTCTTTTTCCTCTGAGACTCTCAGATATCATTATTTTCTTCACAGGACACATCACAGTCTGAAATGTTATGCTTGCTTATGTATGTATGTCTGCATCTGTGTGTTTGATTGTTACTATAATGCCTCTCAGTAGGTGTGAGCATCAGGGAGGTGTCCACTGCTATATTCTAGAATAGCTGCTAGCACATAGTAGGTATTCAATAAATATTTGTTGAATAAATGAATGCATGAATATGTGTAAGATGTTAATATTCTTATATGCATTATAATAAAATTATCTTGTGATATTTCATTAGAAAATCTCTTCAGATACACTCTCTTTAGTATTTCAAAAACATAAAATTATACCTCAAACGACTCAACATACTGTGTAAATTTCTGAAAAGTGTGGGCAAATGAAAGTGTTATAAAATGAAGCCCATTATGAGAGAATTTAAAGGAAATTTATTTGGAGATATGAAAAATCTTTACTGATCAAGCGAATTATCACACTCTCTTCTGCTTTTATAGATTTGTTTCCTATATTTAGTTTGTTTTCATCACAGAGCATAAATTATTATTGTTTCTATCATAAACTGTGCATTCCTATTCAAACCACAAGACACACTTTCAGTATTTCTGGACAAAAATGCTAAGGAGTCACTACTCTTGTTATTCAAGGTTACCGACACCATGTGACTTCATTTCAAACCCAGCTATATTCTGTAGCCATACAATGCAGGCTTTTCAACAGACCATGGTAATGAATGTGGTCACGGTTTGGATTTCAACAAGCAGCTGTCAAAAACTATCATCCCAAATGACTACTTGCCGAAAATTTCTCACTCCAAAAGCTGGTACTTCCAGGGTGGTCTAGGAAAGAAATCTGTATCCACAACTACACTGGGGCTATTCTAATTGCCAATGTTCAACATTTCTTTGGAAATACAATTTCAAGCTTTTAGGAGCTTTTTTGGTGAGCCCCAAAAGCGTTTTTAAGTGTTCTCTAAATATTAAGCTCACTTGTTCGTGATGTTTTTCTTCCTGAAATACCAACGCCTTCTGAAAACTCCGGTAAACAGTTATTCCGCTGATTTTAAGAACCACTCTTGAGAAAAATCACTCACTCCATTGCTTACCACTTGCTGCCCTCAAAACTTCTTAGCAACATACACCGTGCATGAACCTCAACGTGGTTTGCTTTGTCCAATCGCATGCCTGAAAGCCCAACCAGTCCGTTGTGTAATAATAAACCCCTTATCTCCTGAAGATACACAAACGGAAAAATCTCTCAGCGCTTCAGTGCACAGGGGACTTCGCTAGAATTCTCAGCAGAAACTCACGTCCATTTTAATGCCACCCCCACCCCATTTTCCTGATTTCCTCTTTTTTTCTCATTTGCAATTTTAAGGGGGGGGGGGAACCCTCAAATGTTAAACGATGCCGAGTTGAAACACGGGAGGGCGAGGGTCAATGCCAAAAGCTGCCAGCAAAATGCATGTGAAAACCAAGGGCTTGGTTTTGGCTGTACTGGGTTTACCGGTTTTCTCACCAGCTCCTGTGATGGAAACTCATCAACAATTGTTCTCGGATGGAAGAAGGGGCTGAGGGATTGGCGAGAAACACCGTTTTCTAGTTTCAATAAGCTTGAATAACTCTCAAAATAAAGGGAAGGGGACACTCCTTCCTTGGGGGAGAATAAAATCTCACTCTCCCCTATCTCGCCCTTCCCCACCCGGCACGAACCGGCGCCTCCGTATTCCCCAAGTTCCCCACCCCACTGGGGAGAAGCGCCCTTTCCAGGCACCCGCACCAGACAACAAACCCGAACCAGCCTTTGAGGAAAGGGGGAACGGCCGCGCTGGGAGAGACGCAGGGGGCCGAGGAGCAGGCAAATCAACAGTTCCCCGCGCTGCCCGGTGCGGCCGCCCGCGCCGCCTGACACACCCCTCCCGGCCGGGTCTCTCCCGAGAGCCGCTGCCCGGCCTCTGCCAGACCCCTCAACCCCGGACCCGGACCCGTCCTCTTCCCCGGGCCGGCGGCTCCCACGCGCGGCACCGCGCCCAGCACGCACCTTCAACGTGCCCCGGGCAGGGCCCTTGGGGACTGAGCGGCCGGGTCCGAGGGGCACGAAACGCTCCTCGCCGTCCTCGTCGTCTTCGTCGCCGTCCACCACCTCGACGACCACCTCCTCGTCTTCGTCTTCCTCGTCGTCATCCTCCTCCTCCGCGCCCCCTCGGGGCTTCTCCTCCACCCGCCCGAGCCCCCTCCGCCGCCTGCTCCCGCCCTCCTCGTCCTCGTCTTCCTCCCCCAGAAGCAGCAGCACCGGCGACGCGGCGGCGGCGGCCCGAGGGGGGCCGGTCCCGGCGCTGCGCGGCGGCCTCCAGCTCTCCCGGGCGAGCGCCGGGGCCGGGCCGGGAGCAGGGGGCGGGAGCCCGGGCAGAGTGGCTTCCTTGGCGGCCGCGGGCGCAGGCCCGGCCGGCTGCAGCGCGGCGCCCCCCCGGCGGCTGCCCAGGCTGGAGCGCTTGGCTAGACGCCGCGCCTGCATGCCTGAGCGCGGAGCTGCGGGCCGCGGCGCGGGGCCGGAGAGTTTGTCACCTCCTTTTCCTCCTCTGCCTCCGCCGGCGGCCGCTGTGGCCGCAGGGCCTGGGGCGCGGGGCCGCAAGGGGTTGCAGGAGCCGCCGGCCCGGACCCGCGGCTGCCACTGGCTGCAGAGGCGCGGACACCGCCTTCCCTGGACCGGCCGGCGGGGACGCCGGCGGCCGGCGGCTACGGCGGGGCGGTGCGGCGGCCGCGGGTGGGGGTGGGTGTGAGCGAGCGGCGCGTTGCCGCCTCCGCCGCCGCCGCAGCCCGGGAGCCGCGGGCCGCGCTGCGCTCCATGCGGCCGGCGGCCGAGCCCGCGCGCGCCTCTCCCGGCCCGCTGCGCCCGCGCGCTCCGGGCCTACCGCTGCGGTGCCTCGGCGCGAGCTGTTTGTGTTGTTGTGTGTTTTCCACCACCAGCCCCCTCCTCGTGAGCCATTCCTCACAGCCCTCCAGTCCCCCCCCCCCCCCCCCCCCCCCCCCGCTTAGACAAAACCCGGACTGGATTTTTTTCCCTACACACAGCCTCCTAAAGTCTGGCTCTTCGAAGAGTTGGCGGTGACGCCAGGGCAAACGCTTAACCGCAGCCCATTCTTCCCTCCCGAGGGAGGAGAGAAGAATTCCCTGGAAGTAAGGTTGTCGGTCAAAGTTAGACTTTGAACGAAGAGATTTGCTACAAGTCATTTTAATGGTCACTGATGTGCGTGGCAGCTTCTACTGAGCTTGTGTGAAAAGTAGGAAGCTGTACGAATCCGAGGTTTGGGGTGAATTCCTAATATGAATCATCAGAGTCGCTTAGATTTTGGAAATACTGTTTCATGAGCGATTATCTACCAATCTCTCTCTTTGAACGCACTACTCTAGCCCTGATTGAGCTGCCTTGGCTCTGTGCTGAGTGTCTAGGTCTTTCAGCTTTTACTCCTGCTATTCGACCTTGAGTCCCTTATTATAAGGGCTGAATTCCAAGAAGCTGTCTGCTTGCACTATCTGATTTGTAGACTCTCTTCTGGCATTGTTCAGGCCTTTGAAGAAACAAATGGGTAGGGGTTCAAGATCATTTGAATTGGTTACTTAAAAAATTAATAGGAAGTAAGACGAAGTCTGCAAATCAAGCACATAACCAGTTTGCCATAGGATTAGTTTTGCCATTTTCTAACAATTTTTAGGTGTGACAAAGGAAAGATATTTGCTATTGTTTGGCATGTAGAAAGTCGTATTTCTTATTTTTACCTATTGTATTTATTTATTTATTTTGAGGTGGAGTTTTGCTCTTTTCGCCCAGGCTGGAGTGCAATAGCATGGTCTTGGCTCACTGCAACCTTCACCTCCCCAGTTCAAGCGATTCTCCTGTCTCATCCTCCTAAGTAGCTGGGATTACAGGCACCCACCACCACACCTGGCTAATTTTGTATTTTTAGTAGAGACAGGGTTTCACCATGTTGGCCGGGCTAGTTTCAAACTCCTGACCTTCACCTGCCTCGACCTCCCAAAGTGCTGGGATTACAGGTGTAAGCCACCGCACCTGGCCATAAGTCGTATTTCTTACATTCAAATCATACTCCCAATTCTATCCCTGTAGAGGAGGGCTGGGGAGGATCTTACGCATCAAATACTCTGGTAGGTAGCTCCATGGGGACAGAATAACAGGTGTATTCACCTTCAGCTAATTATTATTGGACATTTAACATCATATACACTGTTAGACACTTGAAGGGGGCTCATTAAATGCTCACTTATGATGTCTTCCAACTGTTGAACAGGGATGATGACAAAGATTCTAAAATGAACTTTTTGTTCTCCCTGAATCAGATTAGCTTCCTGATATACCTATTTCAGGTGATGACACTTTCATTATAATCATTTGGGCCCAAAATAGCAGTATCATTTTAACTCCCTTCTCTACCTTATCCCTAGAGGCAGTCCACAAGTCCAACCCATTGTTCTTTTTAAAATGCATTTTGAAACCACCCCTTCCTTTCCATTCCCAACACCCCTTCCTTTCCATTCCCAAAGCTCTTAACAGCATTTTGTGACTTCAAAAGTGAAAGTTTCTAATGGTTCCAATCACCCATTTTCTCACCCACACACCCTCCCCTTCCCTCCTCAGACACCACCACAAGATTTATGTTTCCCAAACCCCATTCAGATCACACCATTTTCTTGTTGGACTTCTTATATGTAAATATCCTGTTCAGGAATTCAGAAAGAAGACAACAGAACATTAAGAAATGTGTGTGTCTGATCAAAGCAGGGAAAAGCAGGGGCCAGCCAAGAAGTGAATAATCAGTATCAGCGAGAGTTTGCAAAGAATGAGGAAAGGTCATTAAGGTGGTTCCATCCTCATTGGAAGTAATTTAGCTTCGTTGATTTGGGAGATTATTTTAGAGTGAGGCAGTAGGGTCTTTCTCTGACCATGAAAAGGAAAGATCAAGGGTAAGGGGTGGGCAGACAATTATGGAGAAGGAGGTAGAGGAGGACAAAGGTGTGAGGCAAGCTGGCTAGAAGTTAGGCAAATGGTCTCAGGAGCACCTAGGTCTGAATCCTGGCTTTGAAACTTACCAGCTGTGTACTTTTACTCATTCTCTTTCTGTGCCTGCTTCCTCATCTATGAAATGGGGATCATAGTAATAAAGTTACTTTGCAGATTAATGAGTTAATAAATACAATTAGCTTACAAGAGTGCCTGGTACAAGCTAAGGTTTATATGAGGGCTTATCATACTAAACGTTGTAGTGGTAGGTAAACAAGATGACTTGGGATACTCTCAGAGAATAACAAGGTAGCTCTCTTTTTTTTTTTTTTTTTTTTTTTTTTTTTTAATTTTTTATTGGATTATAGGTTTTGGGGTACATGAGCAGAGCATGCAAGACAGTTGTGTAGGTACACACATGGCAGTGTGCTTTGCTTTTCTTCTCCCCTTCACCCACGGTAGCTCTCTTTTAAGTAAGCTGAGTAATGTCAGTAACTAGCAAAATGTGCTTTTAAAGACCAATGACTTCTTATCAAAGGACTGTGGTGAGGCCAAGGATATAGCTTTTTGTGTCTGAAATTGGTATAGATGAAAGAAAGTAAATGTTTTCTTGAGAACTTAGAGGAAATGCAGAGTTAAAGGAATTGGTGATTGGCATTTGTGACTTAGTGGAAGATGATACACTATTATACATTCTTCCAAAAATGCTATATATGCTTTGAAATCAGCTTTTGTTTCTCTTAGGCCATTTCAACAGATCTCATACACATCCATTCCCTGGCCCCACAGAGCTGGAGAGGCTGCCTCTGAATGAGGGAGGGGGGGAAAGAGCTGGCCTTGGTTTTCAAACCATTAAATGAAGGGTAATGTCACAAAAGAGGTTTCACCTAAGCTGGGCTTTGAGGGATGAGAAGGATCTGTTCAGGCAGGGAGAGCAGCATTGTCTAGGCAAGTGTAGGCCACTGATGACCATCCTCATTAAATCAGAGGACATTTAGTGAAAATAAAAAATGAAATTACCTAATTCATCAGGAATCAAGAAAAGATCTCATGATATGGGCAAATAACATACTACATGCATGACATGGACTCAGAAGTCAAGAAATATCTTGTGATGCCAAGCAGTAGGGAGGAGTCATTGCTGCTTCTTTCCCCCATGTTCCTTAAATGTAACAGATTTTTTTTCTTCCAAAACTGGAGTGCTTGCCACTGAGGATGAGGAAGTGTGTCTCTGAGCCACAGAGTAAGGAAGGAGCCCCTTCCAGGACAGTTGGATTGCATGTATCCTCATGTAGAACATTTCATCATTCATTCTGCATGGATTTATTGAGTCCTGACAAGTGCCAGGTCTTGTTCTTGGTGCTGGTGTGCAGCAGTGAACAGAATAACCCTCACCAGGGGAGCTAGCAGACAACAGTCAAAGAAGATAAGTGAAAAATATGATTTTGTGGAAGCAATAAGTGCCTATATGAAAAAGCCAGAGAAAAATAAAGCAGAAGAGGGGTAGAAAATGCTGGAGGTTTAGTATAAAGAAATGTGCATTTCAAAGCACATTTCTTTATATTAAAACAGACATAAGAATAGCATGAATTTGAATATGAAATTTGAATGAAAACTCACAGCCTTGGACTCGGTCTTGTTCCCTCAGATAGATTCCATTCTCCTCTATTGTTCACATGCTTTGGTTGACCGGTTTGAGAAGCACTGGTGAGGAAGAACAAGAGTAGGCTTTGGAGTAAGCATCATCCTTAACCACACAGTATCTGGCTGGCTCCTGTCTGGTTTCTTTGGATCCTCAGTGGTTCTTAAACCTTTGCGTTCTGAACCCTAAAGATACCTAAAACATTTTTTTACATTTATTTAAAATATTATATAAAGAAAATCAGGCTCAATTTGGCATTATGTTCAGTTTTTAAAAATTTAAAATTCAGTAAAATAATAATCATGTTTCCAAAATCAGGAGGCTTAACCGTAACCAGAACAAAAAATATAAAAATTTGCATCCACTAGTGGTGGTTCCTTTTTTTCCTTGTGAAACTTTTAATAGTTGGATTTGTTGAGAGTAGTAGCTCCTTTTAAAAATTATTTTAGAAGTAAAAGTAAAATTTTGCCCTTTAAAAAGGTTATGAAAGTAAGATTAGCTTAGTTTTTCCACAGTTCTGGGAAACTTAAAAATGATTTCATTTGATGACTGTCATCGCATCGTATGAAAAATAGATTAAGGTTAAGAGAATCACTCAACTATTACAACCTTCAGGCTGAAAGCCTGTCTAAGTCAAGCATAACCTCCACCCAGATAAATGTTTCTTCCATGAGCAGTTAAACTCTCTTTCACAACACACTGTACTTTCAAAATACTAATTCTGTAATACCCCTCAAAGACTTAGGTGTTTTTTTAGTGAGTGTTAAAATGGTAGCATTGCTTTTTTTTATGTAACACGTATTTACTATTTCAGTGTGTGCAATTTTCTCTTTGTTGTTTCATGATCAGTTCAGTCAACTCATATTGGCACTTGAGAGGCAATAAATAGAACACTGGACTGAGATTCCAGAGATTTGAGTTGGATCATACTGTGGGGATTACTAGCCACGTAACACTAGTTAAGTCTTCTGATTTCTGCAGAGTTCACAACTCTAATATGAATGAGTTGTGCTCCCTAAGGAGCTCTCTCATTTTAACTCCAGAGTTCCATGGTATAA